GTATCGATCTATACAGAATCGTTTGACGAGTCGGTGAGAACGTTGAAAAATATTTTCTAAGATAAGAAACAATCATTTTGGTATTTTAATATATGAGGAAAACGTTTGAAGAATAATAAATTCTCAGGTATCTGTAGTGAATTTCAACCAAGTAGGTAAACTTTCACGACGTCTTTCTAGGCTGCGTGAACAGTTGCAGCATAACACTTCATTGAAATATAGTTTGGTATTTTTATTATTGGGATTCTCTAGCACACTTGCGATCGCTGGCCGGTGCGGGTGAAGTGATAGGGGGGGTTTCTGTAGCTGTAGAGCTTAGCAATAAAATTCCATGAAACTTTTATACTTGGCGTTAAGGTGGACCTGAAATAGTTTCGCTAGGTGAGTATCAAAATTTTCAAATAAGAAAGGATTCGTTCTTCTTTTCTATTGTATAGTTCATTCATTTCTTACCGTTAACAAATGCTGGACAGTGTGTTAAGCTTTTGCGTTTGTATGCAACACTTAGAAACGCTTGAGATGGAGCCACATCTTATTATAGCAATCGACTTGGAATCGCTCTTTTGAGTCAGTGGATCCGTTTCTGTATTTAACGTACCTGCCAGTCCGTCCATCTACTCGTCTATTAGTTTACCCATTTATCAATGTATTCTTGTGTTCAACATATATGTTGCAAATTTTAATGAAATTTTATCCATTGACGTACTTTGGTCTAAGAATAGATATATATTTGGGTTATCATTGCCTACAAGGATTGTGATGAAAGCTGATCCATATTAGAAATGTATTATAAAAAATTAATCATAGGCTACTACTTTTTTAAACTCAACCATGTATAGAGACTCTTCGGAGAAGCATTCCATTCTATTGCAACAAAGTTTTCTTTTAGAATGGAAGCGATTGGAAAATAATAAAATTTTTGACAGTTCCATTCAGTTTGGTAAATTTGGACTACGTTATTGCTTTTATGAAAAGTGCGCATTTACATAGAATTGATGAATCATTCTTGATTTACTATAACGAAAATAATTGGACAAATGTATTGGTCGAAATAGTGTGGAGCATCTAATTGGCCAATCTTGCCGGACTATAGTGTTAATACATGTCTTGTTCTCTTGTATCTTCTGGAATCAGAAATTTTCGAGTGAAAGTTCAGCTAAGCTAACAAAAGATTTAAGCAACAAACTATCTTATCTCATAATAGTGCATAAAAATATCGACAGAATATCGCGTGACATTAAGCCATCGCGCGTACTTTAAACTTTTCTCTGCACTAAAAGGTGAGTTGTCTTGACACTTGTGCACTTCTTTGCTAAAATATTTAGTTAATAATGGAACGGCATTAAACGATACACAAACTGATTATAAATATTGAACAAAAATAGAAAATATAAACATAAATGAGAACAGTTATCATCCGTTATGTGTGCATAAACATACATGATTCTGAAGGATGTCAGCAGTTAATTAGGAAAATATAAAATCTTTGCGAGATCATTAAATTTTTATAGTGTTGTTAAGTATTTTCGAGAAATTCCAGATTTTCTAAAAAAAAAAAAAAAAAAATTCTTATCTTTCGTAAGATCTGAAAATAATTTGAGTTTTTTAACAAAAGTTCACTTACAGTAAAAGTAATGACACATCACATACCCATCGGATAAACACCGCGTTAGGCCGCATTAGGCCACATCCTATCACTCTTGCTCTTTATCGCTAATCATCAACACGTTTACCTATGTATTCCTATGATATTCAAAGGTCTAACATAATATCGAAATTATATTTTTTATGATTTTTTATAGGCGAGGATTTCTGCGCAGGCACATTATAGATGCAAAGTGTGAAGTATAATCTATCTGGTCTATTTGGGTTCGCCGCTTTAACGAACGCCGGATATCTTATCTATCACAACACCCTATGTATATGAATAAGTTGTTCTTTTAAAAATCTCGCTTAAATCTGATTTGATTTAAGCCGAATATAATGGATTTCGTGTTCATATATATTCATTCTTTCTTTCTTACAATCAATTGCTATAAGGAAAATAATTAACATGGCAAACATGTTTGGGCCACTTACAACATTCTGCAAAACTGTATTATCAAAAATTAATCAAAAATTCAAGGTTGACCTTAACGCATTTACTTATACATGACGCATGTAATCCATAGTTTATCAAACATACAAATAAACTCTGTAAAATTCGGTTACATAGGCTATTATGGTAATATAAAGTCATCAACTAGCATGTACTTTATTATAACTTTTTTTGGGAGTGCAGTGGTCAATGGTTGGCAATCAAAACGGTTTTGTTAACATGAAAATTTATGGCAAAAAACAAAAATAAAAAAAATAAAAAAAAAAAATAAAAAAAAAAAATGAAAAAACTACGAAAACAATGAATTGCGTACTTAAACGTGTGCCACCTTCACACACACACACACACACATATATATATATATATATCAGCAACACAGGCAAACTAATGAATTTCTGTGTTATGGCAGTGATATCTAATTCGAAACCTCTTCAAAAGTGTATCGTTATGAAAATGAAATCAAAAATTATGCGAAACCTTGAAATTAATTTTTAATAATTATTTTCTTGAAATTAAATTTTTATTTCTGTATTATTATTAATATTTACGATATATTGTCCACACACATATATTCATATAATTAAAAAATATTATTTATTTATTGAAAAGTCAAACATCGCTTAAACCTATATATTGTGAGTTAAAGTTTCCTAAATATTTTTTGTCCGGCAAAAGTACGCATCAGATATCCCAAACAAACAAATATATGTAGGGTATAATGTATATATTACGGTCTTAGGCAATACAAATTTAGTTTCGGTCTGTCTGTCAGCTTTTCTCTTGAATTTACGATTAAAAGATTAAAAAAAAAAAAAAATTGCCATTACGTTCAATATGTCACAATTAACGAAATATTCGAAGCCGTAAGCTAAGTTTACGATTTTTTCCAATATATGGTTGAATATGCTCTTAAGTGCGAATATATTTCACTCTTTGTATTCATTGTCTTATATTGGAATATCGAATGACATTGTTACATGTCATTGCAATCATATAAGTTGAATAACAAATGAGCGCGCAGCGCCTCATGCGGCGTAGTTTGAAATAAACAAGGGTTTTCCCAAACAGTTGCGTTTACCTTGCGTTCGTGTTTTCGTGCAGAACCGTGCAAGTAAATGCGGGCATCAAATTGACAGAGTGTGCGTGCACAGTTGGTGCTCAAGATGATCTTTAATGAGTAAAGCAACAAATGATATAACAATGTCCGGTCGATCGTAGGACATGTATTTTTCTGAATAGGCTTTTTTTTTTTATAGACAAGTCAATAACGATCGGCGACACTTGGGTAAAGTCGTAATTCATCTTCCGACTGGCACAATAAAAATTATATCCATAAAATTATCGCAACTGTGTGTTTTTGAAATAAGGATGGGATCGCGCGTATTGACATATGGACAATACAATTGATTAAAGTAATTAATAAAAGGAAAATTATTATTGATTTTTTTTATAAAAAAAAAAAAAAATAAAAATAAGCAAAAAAGTAAATCGTTTGGTTCCTGCGCACGCACTTGCCATTCAACTTTTAATTATGTAATAATACGGTTGCGTTTATCATTTCCAATCGTGTCACAAACTTTTGATTGAAAATATTTTCTTGAATTTCGAAATTTTGTTTATTGAAGAGACACAAACACAAGCAACAAAGTTATCGCAATAATAAAACGAACTTTGGATACCCATCATCTCAAGCGAACATATAAAAATAGCAAGATAACCTATAACTTTTACTTAATTTAAAGATCGACACTTATTGTAATGTGAATAGTATTTTGAAACGTTTCTTTTTTAAAGTTTGCCCTTCAGAAAAATTGGTACGAGTGGATGATGGCAATCTGTAAATTTTAGACTGTAGATATTCACGTTTGATCATTTTATCTTGCATGCAATAATTGTAAGAACTTTAGCTATAATGCATAACGATCAACGAACGAGTCGACATATTATTAATTGTTAGTTTGCGGATGGGTAGCTGCCATTTTCATAGCTGAGATATGGACTGCGATGACAAATATTTACAATTTTAGGCTTTAAAATAAGCGGATGGACAGACAGATAGGCATTTGTAAATCAATTGAGAATCTAGTACTATTCTCGAGATTTATATATATATATATATATATAGTCAGGTCTCTGATGCTTGTTTCTAACTGGTATAAGTAATCGGAATATTGAACAGGTACACTACCTTTCCTCAATAGCGGTAACTTAAAACTTGTTACATCCAACGTAATCTGGGTCGGTTGGTAGGTATATTCATTTAGTAAAAACATTTCTAAGGAAAAACTTCAGAGAATCACTTATATATAACAAATTATCAAATACTGGCGTATCCGTGCGTCCACCCATGAGCCGATCGCTGATGAACATTCTCTTTGTCGCAAATATTAATATATTGTAATTTCGATTTCTTTAAAAACTCTGGAAGTTCTCGGTGTCGAAAATGTGGCAAATCGATCATAGGGCGCACAGTACAGCACAGTAATTAACTAAGAATACTTCTGTTCTCAAAAACGGAAAAAATAAGAAATAATAAAAAATTTCCAGATATATTACGTAGGTGATGTCGGCATTACCGGTACAAAAGCACAAGAAATTTGTCCGCACTCGTCCAAAACTCTGGATCATCGAATTGTTGCTTTTAAGGTGTAGGCTGATCGTTAGATTCGACCACAATCCAGTACGATTTTCTTCCTTTACTTCTTTTTAATATTATATAAACATTATCTCTTGTTTGTAATCAAATATTATAATTTTATTAAGCTTTATCTTTAACATTAGAAAATAAATATATATATATATATTTGTTTTGCTATATAGGTTTCGAATGTGAACAAATTTCGTCAACTGAAGTTATTAACATTAAAACTGGTTTTATGCACGATACGATATTGCTATTGTTATACCTTTTTAAAATTGTAACGCGTACAGTCAGATTTATCATGTATATCCTCTCAAGTTCTGGGAAGAACTTAATTTATTATTGATTTAATCAATAAACCTATGGGTGCTTTGATGAGGCTTCCACAAATGGTAAGAAATGCTTCTGAATTGACTCATCATTGCTCGGATAGGATATTGTTAGTCAGATCTAGCATACTCTTCGCATTGTTAAGTTATAGATAGCGAATAGTTCAGGTTAAAGGTGTCGTCTAGATGAAGAAATTAAAAGTCTTGCGGAAATTAATTGCCCAGTTAGTATTGTTGTTATCATTTATATACACGCTATCGCGGTTATATCTTTTCAAGGTGTACTGTAAATTTTCAACCCTAAAAGTAGGCTATAAAATCTTTTCCTTTTATTATGGTAATCTTAATAGTAGAGAATATTAATCAAAGTCGTATTAACTTATTGCAAGTGCTTTCAAATTTCAAAATTACCGGCCTATTGTGTGCGCGAAGAGTATTCGAACTATCGAAATAAAATTATTACGCATGCTTCTACATTCGTTGAACTATTTTAAAAGTATTCCTAGTAAGTTTTTCAAATACAAGATCGAAGAGACAACATTTCGTAAAATAAGGTATAAAATGCAAATGATCATTTAAGGCAAGATATTTTAGTAAAATTTTCAATTTACTTTTAAGCCATAATACCTATAGCTTTATAGCTTCCTCATCGTTTCAGAGTCAAAAATCGCGACCAGTGGGCAATTTTATTAGCTAGATTTCAAAGCTTAAGTTTTAAATCGATAGGCTGATGGATTGTAATGTTAAAATCTAAAATCCCGCTCACTCAATTTTTCCGCAAAGTGACGCCATGACTTCACTCAAAAAGTCAACATATAAGAATTTATTGCTGTTGCTTTGTTTTTACTAATACGTTTATCGAATGTGTGTAAGCTTCTATTTGCGCAGCTAAAAAGTATACGACCAGGCGATTGCGTCATCGAGAGAGACGCAGAGAATATTACGTAACTGCAGTTAATCTTTGAACCTTCACATTTTATTGGGCCGGGATTATTGTAAACCAAATCCGACAAGTTGTAGGTTTTCATTAGCCATTCAATTATGTGCCAACTAAATGATTTCAATGACCACAAATTGTCGCTATTGCGCAAATGTTGATAAAAACTGTAGATAATTTGCAAATATTGTTCGAATGTCTTTTCTTTCATGATTAAACTGTAAATAGCATTAATAAATAAATAATAAACGGTAGAAATTCGAAAGCTAGAAAAATACAATTAGATGGCATATACTCGAACGCAAGCAAGTGAAATTAAAGCAACGAAAAACACTACAGTAGGCCGCGATCTCTCATTAAATACCCTACAGCACTATACAGTTATTCATATCACGGCTGTTTAAAGGAAAGCGTGTTTGTGCCAAATTTCATTATAATATAGAGAATAAGAAAATTGGATGGACAGACAAGTAGACAAGGTTAGAAAGTGATTCTATATCGATCGGTAAACACAAAAGGTGGACTTATCTCAAGTCATTCTAGGTGTTGCATACATACGCACAAACGTAATACAGGCTTGTGTACCAAGTTATATAGGGTATAGTAATGATTATGAAATGTCCCAGTAGTAATGACGACTTCTACCAATACTCTACACCAATTCGATAAACATGAATCTGTAGCTGCCTTTGTCATAAAGTAACAAAAATTTTATATCAGAATCGGAAAAGGGGGATATACGGGCCAAAGTATGTCACTACATATTTTGAATCAACTTTCATCCTAAATTAGTGAAAGTTGGATTTTTGTGCCATATATGGCATAGAAACAGCATTATGCTCCTCATCTCTTCGCTCCGTCTCATTAATTTTTTCCGCTTATTATGAGAAATTGCAACAAGATTTTATATAACTATTAGATTTTCATTTGTGGCGTAATATGGGAGAGTGGTAATAAAATAGGTCACCGCGCACAACTTTATAAAAATATTTGAGAAATTTAAGACTTGCATGTGAGCCGATGTCAAATGAAATAATTTTGAATCGATCGTTGGACCGATTTAAACCTTTCTGCATGAATCGATCGTTGGACCGATTTAAACCTTTCTGCATGAATCGATCGTTGGACCGATTTAAATCTTTCTGCATATTATACTCCATGGCATCCTCCATATAAACTTTACATGTTCTTTGCAACAAATATATCTACCATTATCGCGATTAATTTTATTCTGATCGTATTAGTTTCGTAGCCTTAATTGTACTTTTATGCCGTTTTCACTCTTCATAACTATTGCAGGCAAAAGAATTGGTTGAAACCCTTCGGCTGGTAAAAATTCAAAAGCTCGTAAAAGATTTGATAGGGCGCACTTTAATTCTAACATAGCAAATCGCTGACCTGTAAAATTTTAATATGTTAGAGAAAGTTAGCAATGATTTGCAATGTAATAATCATAACATTACCGATGCAATTTCTTGGGCCAGCACTGAATGGCACAAAACTATACGGATGCGAACCTTTATCGCCTTGTAAAAAGCGTGTGGGATCGAATTTCTCGGGTTGCGAATAATAGCGTTCATCTCGATGTACCATATAGGCGAGTACAACAATATTAACTCCTTTAGGTACAGTAAGTGAACCAACCTTAAAATCATCAGTAGTTTGGCGAGAGAAGAATGGCACGACCGCAGAAATTCGTAAACTTTCTTTTATAACGGCCTCCAGATAAGGCATATATTCCTTACCGTCTCGCATCGCGGCCAATACCTCCTCATAGGCTTGCTTTTGTATGGCAGGATGCTGTGATAGCAAATGCAAAGTGAAGGCTATGGCTGAGCTGACTGTATCATGGCCGGCAAACATAAAATTGTCAACTTCTTCGCGTATTTCATCATCTGTGAGCGGCATACCTTCCATTTGCGAGATAAGTAACATATCCAAAAACGCTAAACGCTTCTTTCCTGTTATATCATCACTTAAGTTCTCTCGATCCTTTAAAATATCGTATTTACATTCTTCTAACATTTTACGTTTTAATTTTACAACGTGTTTAGTTTCCTCGTGTAATATCTGTACTCCGGATTGATATTTTCTACCGAGTTTAGTAAATTTGAAAAGCGTTCTATTTCTGTATAATGCTGAGAAACTACGTCGATGCGAAATGTGACAAACTCTATAGAAATATGAAGAATATAAGTTAGGTAGGGTACAATCGGTATATTTTCATCTTACTCATCTATCGTTTTTACGTAAAGGGAATCGCTTTGCAATTGAGCATGTTTCTTCAGACCCATAGCAGTTTCGTAAATGACATCTAATGCAAACAACGTTATATAAGGGCATATATCGAAAGGTTCGCCATTTGTTTTCTCCTTCAGTTGTTGTATTAGTATTTGACAATTCTCTTCCATTGATTCCTTAAATTCGCTTAGTATACTAAAATGAAAAGCTGGTGTTAATAGCTTACGTCGCTTATGCCACGATTCGCCGCCGTTTATTATGAGACCTTTGCCTAACCACGACTCTAGCAATTTATAATTACTCGACTTGTGCAATAAATGATTGCTGCTAAGCAATGTCTTTATATCGTCGGGATCGGCAAGAAATACGAATAGATCTTTACCCAGCCACACACGAAATGTTGACCCATATTTCTTGTGTACTTCTTTTAGTCGGTCCAAAACGCCTTTTATTCGCAGCATCGATCATAAAGAAAATCAATTTGTAATGCTTACGTTCTTCTACAATTAATTCATTTGATCAATAATACGAAACGCTTACTCATTTTCCTCGATTTCCACATGAACTCGTACAAGGAGGGACCCGGTATGGAAGCTGACCATTGTTTTAATCGTATTATATCAATAATTTGTGGTAGAAGACGCATAAAAGTTGCCCATAAAACAAACGCTATCAACGCTAAAATGTTCATCTCTCTTATTTATTTATTTTTTGTTGTTGTTGTTGTTTTTGTTTATTTTTGTACAGGCAGATAACTATCCGTAACCCGTCCTTTAAAGCCGTAGCAAAATTACAACTAAAGTGCTGGAGATCATTGTGGATTCAAAATATTCGTTTGCTAATAAGTGACGAGAGAGAGAGATTGTAATTGAGAGATAAAAAAAGAGGCAAAGTAAAACGAGGCAAGTGTATGTGTACGAGTTTGCACTGGATTGTAAAAGTAATCCAAGTTGTTATCAAAAAGTTTGAAGCAAACCAAACAAGTGTTTTTTTACTTACATGCATTGATAAGTTTATTTTTACAAGATCTGTTTGCGAAGCTTTGCAAGATTTGCTAAAATTAATCGAGAGAATAAGATATGACCTCTTTATATCCTGTACCACTTGGGGTATATTAAGTTTTTGTGGACATAAGTAACTGGAAGGAAGGAACTACGAAATGTCCACCATTTACTATATACATATATATATATATATATATAAAATCATTCTGAATCGATCTAAGCTTGACTGACCGGCTGTCCATTCAATGTCCGTCTGATGTATTTTTGCGTTCAAGCGGTATAGGTCACAATTTTTCAGATATTTTAATGAAATATAGTGCATCGACGTGGTTTAGAATCAAGAAAATGATTCGGATTGTAACGTTTTTTCGACCAATCCCCAGAAAACGCCTTATTTGGAAAGGTGGCAATATGGCGAAAAATTGCAATTATCCCAAATATATCAACCAAACTCGCTGTGCAAGGGTACAGTAATACGCCCTATAATACGGCACGTTTCGCCTATGGAATGTATATGAAATGAATTGTTTTTTAGTTACATAGTTACATTATTATAGTTTTTTATCTAAATTGTTCTTAGTTTGACTTTCATCACAAGCATATATTTCGTTCATAACATAGTTTTTCCTTAATATCCGATTTAAAAGCCCCGTTTAACGAGACAAGTTAAACGTGAATCATTTGTACATAACGCGTTATATGGGGTCATATGTTTTCCTTAAACGCGGAACTAATCTACCCGGAGGATTAATATATTTCGTTATACTAAATAGGTATGAAAAATTTGGCCCGATCTGAAGCAGTTTTTCAAACCCTCGCTCATATAACCGTTCACGGTTCAATGGTAAAAAGAAATAATTTTTGCTATCTCATGGTAAAGATCAGCTCGGAGCGGTAAATTTCGATTACGTAAGTTTATTGGTTTAGATACTACCGCATATAAGGGCATTGTTAGAAATTGTTAGCCCCTATCCGTCAAAAAGGGCTTAATTGATGTTAATGTTTTTTGAATAGATTGAAATGCAGCAGAGTAATAATATTTGAGAAGATTTTTACAAAAACAAATTATTTTGGAAAAATATATAAAAACCGCAACACTGAAGCCATCTGTAATGAGTGAAACTATGCGACATGCAATATAACAGGTTCAGGTCTGAGTTTAAACAAAAAAAAAAATCGTTTAATCTATCATAGTCCCTAGCGAATCGCATAGGAGCTCATAGAATTATTACAGTTTGTGTGATTGGCAAAGTGTTTGAATGAAAAGTTTCGTTTCTCGAATAAAAAAGGGACACTGTTTTATTAATAAAACATCATTGACTTAATTTATCGAAAAAAAATCGTACGTGATCCTTTGGAAGGCGCTTTGCAAAACTCGAACGCAAATAATGAAAACGGTTTGAGTTACAAAGCGTGCCGCGAAATTTTTGCGTTAAAAATAAATTCTCCTTTTTTTTTATTGAATATTAAATAATGCAAGAGAGCAAGTTTCTTATCAACTCCGTTAATCGTTATAGAAATGATGCAATCATTTTTTTTTGTTTTTTTTTTTTTTGAGCAATAAATAAATAAGTAAATGGGGAAAACACGGTTTTTTTTTTTTTTTATAACATGAATTTTATTGAAATTTTTACTAATTTGTTTTTTAAATGTATTTTGAATTGAATTGAAATTAAATTAAAAAGGAATATTTATTTGAAGTCATTCAAAAAAGAATTAAAAATATAAAATACATAAATAAATAAATAAATAAATAAGAAAATATTTGTTTTTATTTCAATTAATATTATTGTACTTTTTTAAAGACATTTAAATTACATTTTATTAATTAATTAATTAATTAATTCTTTTTATTTATTTATCTATTTATTTATTTATTAATTTTTTTTTACTTAATTATTTATTAATGATTTTGTGCTTGATTTTCTCAAATATTCCTTTTCCTCGTTTGTTTAGTGGTGTGCTTGTGAAAAAATATGACATCAACACGTACATATCCCATACGGAATAAACATAATGTATTAATTATCTATTTAGTTTTTCATATTTCTACATATACGCATATACGCATATGTACATTGACATACGCATACAATTGTAGGCCAGTATATATACAGAATTTATATATATTTATATACATATTTTATATATATATATATATATATATATGTCTATGTATATGTAGATATGCATAGATATATATATATATATATATATATATATATGTTTATATAGGCCCAAAATATATATGTATATGTATACGTATGTATATAAATATATTGCGTATTGAGATTATTTTAATATTATTATTATTATATACGATTAGAAACATTCCCTACCTAGATTGCCATCGATTGCCTTTATTTTTATTTAGATTTGTGTCCACGAGTTTTTCATTTTGTTGTTGTTGTTGCTTTTATTTTAGAATTAAGATAAATATTGTTTTGCTTTCGAAGTGAAACTTTTCTCTCTTCTAATGGATTAAATTCCCTCACACTGAATTAATAGAACGTGTAAAACGAGTTAAAACGAGGATATAAGTACAATTCGCATAGACATACAAACAAGACTGACTAATAAGAATTTTCAGTTGAAGATTAAACATTGTTCAGAGAGCTCACTTCACGTAAATATTCCTGCGTTTATACATAACATGTCTTCTAAGGAAAGGAAACTTTTGACCACATCATGAAGTTATGACTAGCATTAACATCTAAATCGATGGAAACATGTCTGTCTCTCTGTCTGTACAGTAACTACGGCAAATATATATCCAAAAATTAAATTTAGCAAATATGGTAAAAATTCTTGCTCTCACGCTATCATTGAAAACGATCCAAAATCGGTTAAAATATACGCCTATACTATCGTATAAGTTGAGAATGCCTTTGACCTCTGGGTTTTGTGCTCATTCCTTATAAATTTGATTAGGTAAAAATTTCCACGCATATTATATGGGTGATTCTACAATGCCTGGACCAGCATCTCGAAATTTTCTTCTTTT